AATAAGTTAAAATTAGGCATTGTGACTTTAAGTAATAAATATTATTGCATTTAACACAGATATTTATATGTTTATGGGAAGTTAAAATAGGTCTTCATGACTTTAACAGTCATTTGCAAATTTTAACTAGGGAATTCGCTAACTTTTAGTTTTTTTACATACAGTTAAAACTATAGTTCTTAGCAATACATTCTATATGATTTTATAAAGGAATAATAAAAGATATGTCACGTTGTATTTACGGGAATTTTTTATGGACAATTTTCATATTCGATTTTGTAATATGAGATCCTCTACCCTTAATATTAATATGTTTTATCTGCACATTAAAAAAAAAATTATGTAGTGGAACAAAAGATAGTAAACTTTTCAATTAAGTATTCTTATGGTATATGACACGCAGCCCGGATTAATAATCAATTTCTTGTTTAACAAACATTAAATTGAATGTTTAAGGATCCATTTATCTGTGATTATGAAGAATAACCCAAATTCTAAAATAACTGGTTTACTATAAATTTTTTATAAATTCCTTAACTGCATACAATTAGAAAAAAAAACCAAAATTTGCTAAGAATTAACTGAACAAATCAAAATGAAATTCAATATTTCTCTTCTCTTTTTGACTATCTTTGCTGTTGTTGCTTTAGCAAGACCAATAAATGATAACAATAATTTGGAGAAGCGAGGTATTTCATTTAACTATTGCAATAAACATCATTATAGTCAAATATCATTGTTTTTTAAAAAATACTAACTAATGGGTTTCATTTGATTTTAAATAATAAATAGTTCCGTAAGTATTTTTGTACTATTATTACAGTCAATATCATTGTTTTTGAAAACATATTAATTATTGATTTTTAAATAATAAATAGAGTGGTAAGTTACTATTACAGTCAATATCATTATTTTTGAAAACATATTAACTGTTGATTGTTTTTTGTTTTATTTTAAAAAATGAATAGCCTGTAAGTATTTTCATCATTACACTATCATTACAGTCAATTGAAAAAAATATTAACTATTGATTGTTTTTGTTTTATTTTAAATAATGAAATAGCCTGTAAGTATTCTCATCATTTACTATTATTACAGTCAATAACATTGTTTTTGAAAACATATTAATTGTTGATTAATTTTTGTTTTATCTTAAATAGGGTGTAAGTATTTTCATCATTATACTATCATTACAGTTAATATCATTGTTTTTGGAAAAATATTAATCATTGATTGTTTTTTACTTTATTTTAAATAATGAATAGGGTGTAAGTATTTTCATCGTTACTATCATTACAATTAATATCATTGTTTTTGAAAACATATTAACTGTTGATTGATTTTTGATTTATTTAAATAATAAATAGGTTGTGAGTATTCTCATCATTTACTATTATTACAGTCAATATCATTGTTTTTGAAAACATATTAACTGTTGATTAATTTTTGTCTTGTTTTAAATAATAAATAGCATGTAAGTATTTTCATCATTATGCTATCATTACAGTCAATATCATTGTTTTTGAAAACGTATTAACCATTGATTGTTTTTTACTTTATTTTAAATATTTTAAATAATAAATAGGAAGTAAGTATTTTCATCATTCATCTATTAATACAGTCAATATCATTGTTTTTGAAAACATATTAACTGTTGATTGATTCTCATTTTATTTTAAATAATAAATAGGAAGTAAGTATTCTCATCATTTACTATCATTACAGTCAATAACATTGTTTTTGAAAACATATTAACTGTTGATTGATTTTTGTTTTATTTTAAATAATGAATAGGGTGTAAGTATTTTCATACTATACTATCATTACAGTCAATATCATTGTTTTTGAAAAAATATTAACCATTGATTTTTTTTTACTTAATTTTAAATAATGAATAGGGTGTAAGTATTTTCATCATTACTATCATTAGAGTCAATATCATTGTTTTTGAAAACATATTAACTGTGATTAATTCTCATTTTATTTTAAATATTTTAAATAATAAATAGGAAGTAAGTATTCTCATCATTACACTATCATTACAGTCAATAATCATTGTTTTTGAAAACATATTAACTGTTGATTGATTTTTGATTTATTTTTGATTTATTTAGATTGTAAGTATTTTCATCATTACTATTATTATAGTCAATTGTTTTTGAAAACATATTAACTGCTAATTTTTACTTTATTTTAAATAATGAATAAGAGTGTAAGTATTCTCATCATTTACTATTATTATAGTCAATTGTTTTTGAAAACATATTAACTGCTAATTTTTACTTTATTTTAAATAATGAATAGGGAGTAAGCATTTTCATCATTACTATTATTAAAGCTGATATCATTGTTTTTGAAAAACATACTAACTGTTGATTGTTTTTTGTTTTATTTTAAATAATAAATAGGGTGTAAGTATTTTCATCATTTATTTATTATTACAGTCAATATCATTGTTTTTGAAAACATATTAACTGTTGATTGATTTTTGTTTTATTTTAAATAGTAAATAAGGCTGTATTTGCTCTTAGCTCTTTGATGCTTCATTTATTACTTTAATTTTTGGTTGTAATATTATAAATTGTACTCTTCTTTTTACTTTTATCTTTTATTTTTTATTATTGGTTATTATAATTTTTACATTGCATAAGGTTCTCATGCAAATGGTAATGTTTATTTTACAACATAGGAAGCAAAAATAAATAAATCAAATTCATACACAATAAGTGTTTATTATAATTTGAAAAAGCAAATTTTATGTGTCAATATAAATGGGGAATGAAAAGAAATAAAGTTATGTTCAATAAAAATAATAATAATAATATGAATTGAAATACCTTCTATAAATACAATGACTAGAAAAAACTTAAGTGACCTTAAAAATGATCCTAAAATGTGTTAATGTTTGGATGATTTGCACCAGATTTTCTAAAAATTAGTTTTTATGTTAATGCATAGTCGAATCTCAAACACTGCAGCCAGTATCATTGTAATAATAATGGTTACATTATAATCACCATTGAAAGATTTTTTATGTCCATTTTTTGAAATTCATTTATAATTACAGAATTATAATGTTAATTATTTTTGTTATTATTATAGGAATAAAATAAACAAATGATTGCTCTCATATCTGATAAATCAGATTCCTCACTTCAATTAAAAAATTATCAATGGATTTTATTATTATATTTAAATTGCATTACAACAGACAATGAATTTTTGGTAAAAGTTAATAATAATATGATATACTTGGATCCATTTGTAATAGTATACAATGTATTTGTTTTATGTAAATAAATAAATATTGTCTAAAAAATAATCTTATAATAATAAATAACAAGTTTACAACTATTATTTAAGTTGTAACAGCTATACATGAAGTCGAAATAGGGTCGAAATAAGGTCGAAACTGATTTTTACTATGTAGTTGCCTCAAGTCGAAACATTTCGACTTTAGGGTTTTAATTTCGACTTCATGTAAAGTAACAGCTATCCATTATGTCTTTGTAAATTGGAAGTTCCTATTTTATAACTAAAAATCCGATCATTCATCATCTGAACCAACTAGTTGTTTTTTTAAAAAAACAAGTTTATAGAGCATGCATAGTTATGATGCTAGTCAAAAATTGACAAAAATTAAAAAGTATTTATTTATTTAACACGATATTATTATTAAAGTATACATTTGTAATTAAAGCACAAAACTCGTCTGATAGCTTGATTGTAAGGTTTCTGGTCTAATATACCTACCTCTATAAAAACCGTTGAAAAACCCAAATCGACAAAATAGTTTGAGCTTTGAGAAACAGTTTGGGCTAGAAACCTTACTTGATTGTCAGACCCATTTAATCATACGATTTTAATAATATCAAAAACTAATTTTCAATTTAATGATTTAGCGTAACATATGCATTGCACTGTTTAGTATCTACTACTACCATTTAATTTATTTATTATTAGTATAATTTGCATTTGTATGATTGTAATTAAGAAAGAAATTTGATATTATACATTCCTGATGGAATTCAGAAAATTCAGGTAAAAATCAGGGTGCTAATTAGTTTGCAAGTACTAAAAAACAATAATTATTATCAATACTAAAATATTTAATGTCGATATTGTTGCCATCACTATCATCACCTCATTTATCATTAGTCTTTTGTTAATTTTTATTATTTTTTTTTTAGTTAAAAGGAAACATTTTTTAAAAAATTAAAAAGATAAAAATTCGCTAATTGATTTGATTGGTTACATTTATAATATACGAAGATCCATCAATCAATAATATTAATAATATTATTAATTAGTAGCAACGACGACAACGAATCATCGTTTGTTGAGGATGATAAGATCCAGTTTGTATAGGAGTGATCGAAGTAAGCGCTAAGACAATATTTATAAGCTTTCTAAATATTCTAACGAACGTTTTATCAATTATTCAATAGTTTGTACAAGTAAGTTTTAAGGACAAGATCTATGAAGCTTACAAAATATTCTAACGAACGTTTTATCAAATATTCAATAGTTTGTATAAGTAAGTTTTAAGGACAAGATCTATGAAGCTTATAAAATATTCTAACGAATGTTTTATCAATTATTCAATAGTTTGTACAAGTGTTAAGGACAAGATCTATGAAGATTGCAAAGTATTCTAACGAATGTTTTATTAATTATTCAATAGTTTATGTAGGAGTAATCGAAGTAAGCTTTAAGGACAAGATCTATGAACAAAATATTCTAACAAACGTTTTATCAATTATTCAATAGTTTATGTAGGAGTAATCGAAGTAAGTTTTAAGGTCAAGATCTATGAACAAAATATTCTAACGAACGTTTTATCAATTATTCAATAGTTTGTACAAGTGTTAAGGTCAAGATCTATGAACAAAGTATTCTAACGAACGTTTTATTAATTATTCAATAGTTTGTGTAGGAATAATCGAAGTAATATTCTAACAAACGTTTATCAATTAATTAATAGTTTGTGTAGGAGTAATCGAAGTAAGCTTTAAGGACAAGATCTATGAACAAAATATACTAACGAAGGTTTTATCTATCATTCAATAGTTTATATAAATTTCTCTTTTAGTTTAACTTATATTTAATAACATCACTATAATCATTTTGTTGTTGTTTATTGTTCTAATCATCATTTACACATGTATATAGGAATAAATGTAAAAGAAAAATTTATTGTATATTCTTTCGAGTTAGAAAGTGATTGGTAACAATAATTAATTATTGATTTTAAAATTTTTTAAATCCCATTTTTGCACAAAGTAGGTTTTCGCCAAATTTCTTTATATTACAAAGTAAAAGATGCGCAAAAATTTTGGAAAGAAGAAACACATCTCTAATTGTTTAATAAATCAGATATATTTTATACTCTTTCGAGTTGGCAAGTGATCGGTAACAATAACCAATTTGATTTTATAGAGCATGCAGAGTTATGATGCTAGCCAAAAATTGACAAAAATTAAAAAGTATTTATTTATTTATTTAACATGATGTTATTATTAAAGTATACTTTTGTAATTAAAGCACAAAATTCGTCTGATGGCTTGATTGTAAGGTTTCTGGTCTAATATACCTACCTATATATATATATAAAACGTTGAAAAATCCAAATCGACAAAATAGTTTGAGCTTTGAGAAACAGTTTGGGTTAGAAACCTTACTTGATTGTCAGATCCATTTAATCATACAATTTTAATAATATCAAAAACTAATTTTCAATTTAATGATTTAGCGTAGCATATGCACTGTTTAGTATCCTACTACTACCATTTAATTTATTTATTATTAGTATAATTTGCATTTGTATGATTGTAATTAAGAAAGAAATTTGATATTATACATTCCTGATGGAATTCAGAAAATTCAGGTAAAAATCAGGGTGCTAATTAGTTTGCAAGTACTAAAAAACAATAATTATTATCAATACTAAAATATTTAATGTCGATATTGTTGCCATCACTATCATCACCTCATTTATCATTAGTACGATACATAAGTCGACGAAATAATTTTCGATGAAACAAACTTTCGACAAAATGAACTTTCGATGAAATGAACTTTCGACGAATGATTGTCGATGAAATAATTTTCGACGAAATGATTGTCGATGAAGTGATTGTCGACGAAGTGATTGTCGACGAAATGAACTTTCGACGAGATGAACTTTCGACGAATAAACTTTCGACGAAATAGGTGTCGACGAAATGATTGTCGACGAAGTAAACGGGACCGGTCTTTTTTTTAAAGGTGTTTTAGAATTATAAAATATTATTTTTTGATCCTATACTTGATAGTTATAGAAACCATGATATATTTTAATTTGGCTCTTTGTAAATCTGTGATGAATTAAGATGAGACGTTTAAGCGAAAGATACATTCAATTATACTGTTAGAGATGTGATACTCAAAGGTTTTAAGGAAAACAATTAATTTTCTAAAAATCAAGTTGATGTATTTGCCAACATTTTTTTAATGTTTGATTACTTTACCTTATTCACTTATTCAATTTGTTCAGGTTATAACAAAGCTTAATATTGACTTTTTAACAAAGACAATAAAGCTACTATCATTGTTACTAATAGAAGCATTATTACCACTATTATTATCACTATACCATCTAAGGTTGCTTGCCGAAACCTCTTAGTGACTGTCGAAACTCTGTCGAAACTCTAATGAACAATTAGTGTGTAACCTATTGAAACTCTATCGATTGATTTCTGGGGGAGTTTCGCCCACAACCTTAATACCATCAGTATAACCTTGACTAAAGGAAAATATTCATTCATTGAGCTAGCAATGTGAATATTAATCTCAATTTAATTATGAAACATCATTCAAATGATTCGAAAAAACTTTATTCAGATAAAAATCCCAATCGCGAATGAAAAAATCTTGGTCGAAATAAGCTCTGGAACCAAATAAGGATTTTGGTCATGAAGTGTGATTATGATGGAATAATATTTTTAATGGACAAAAAAAAACTCTACAAGAAGTGGTATTTTTAATTATTTTCATATTGCCCAAAATTATATTTTAATTAGAACAACAAGTCATGTTTTTTTATTAACTGCTGTAGAGGGCACAAGTAAATATCAATTACAATACTTTGGAAGGTGCAGAAAGAACATCGTTATGTAAATGTAATAATAAAAATTAAAATAAAAAAAATACTATGTATAAAATCTTTTACATTAATTGAATGAACATGTAATAAAATTTTCTACAAAAGAACCCAACATTGAAAATCACGTTTTGAAAAAATAATAACTTTACTATATACTATGAAGAAAAATGGTCATTTGTGACAAATTACTACAAACTTAAAATTGATATTGAAATGATAAATAATATTAATATATACTGTATGTTTGATAATCACGTGCGTAACAATAATAGTGAACCCCATTTTGGAAAAAAAGTAAGAATTATTATTAATAAATATATTATTACTTACCACGCGTAACAATAAACCATAATAATAATGAATATATTAATATTGTGATTATGATAGCGATAAGATATGGTTATATATTAATATCATTTAGCTAATATATATATATATATATGCCATTACAAATTATTTCTTATAATTTCTAATTGAATAAGTTTCATCCATCAAGTGTTCTATCCAGGTCATATTTCCACATGCCATTACTTGTTTCATATTATCTGTATCTCGTATTTTTGTCCAATTATTTACTGCAAATTCTAAACCTATTTTTCGTAACTTGTCATAATGATGTACCCATCCTGACAGGGTTGGCAAATTGACTGGTCCATTGCCATTAATAAATATTAAATATGGTTAAAGTGTTACCCAATGGGACCACCAATAGACCATCAATGGACCGCACATTTACCAACCCTGAGTATATATATATATATATATCATTATAAGTTAAAATCACTTGTATTCTATGTCTTTTACATGAATTTCTTTTACTCGTTCTTGACGGTTACTAATAACTTTTCGAAATAGGTTGATCTCGGTACCAAAATGATTTGATGTGCCTTCAATACTGATCCACAGTTAAAAAAGAATTTTACATCGTAAAATTTTTCATCATTTATGAATCTTTCGAAATTTGGCTCTTCTCCTTTTCTATTTTTTAGATGATCAAAATTTTAAAAAATTAGAACGACGAATTGCATGCAACACCACGATTTTTTTTTAAACTAGAATAGCTATCAAAACAGCTATCTTTTAACAATACTTACTCGATATTAATTTCCTCTCTGATTTGGATATTTTTGATTAAAGATGGCATTTACAAAAAAAAAATTAGAATGACACCACTCTTAATAATAACTAGAATGATGAGTAGCGATAACCACCATCATTATTCTTTTAATAATAAAACCCAATAATACCTTTTTCTTGTTGCCTTTGTAAAGACATTTTTATTTAATTATAATAAAAGAAAAGAAAAGGATTTTTCGTTATGAATATATTTTGCTGTTTTGGATATCTTTGACTAAAGATGACATTTTAATAAAAAAATTAGAATGACGCCACTTTTTTAATAATAACTAGAATAGTTGAATGGCGATAACCACCATCATTATTCTTTTAATAACAAAACTCAATAATACTTACTCGTAGTTTCTTTCCTTTTTCTTGTTGCCTTTGTAAAGACATTTTTATTTAATTATAATAAAAGAGAAAGGGATTTTTGATGGAAGCATTGACAACATTTTATGGTACAGTCAAACCTCAAGAAGCCGAACCACTATAAAATGATTTTTGCTTTTTGGTAATAATTAATATAATTAATTATCTTGTTAAGCTGAATTTTAATATAATTTGATAAACCCGATAAACCAATTTTTAAAATTCGTCTTACTAATACTAATTATAATTGTAAATAATAATAATCATCAAACCGAATTTGATAAAGTTCGGCTTGACTGTAATAGTAAAAAAGTCATCCAGCTCGCTTCACACCATTGTTGTAACGCTTGCTTTTTGTAGAACATACATTTGGAGACCATTACGGTCATGAACGTTTGTCTTAAAAAGTTTTTGCTATTGCAAAATGCGTGGAGATTATGGGTAAAATAACTTATATTGTATGATGCAAAAGGCGAAAAACTTCTTGGTCTGTTTCAACTTTTTTATTCTTTTTTATTAATTATTCTATGCCTTTTAGTTCTATACACACACATAACTAACAAATGAAATTATTATTCACAAATCTGGAACTTTATTAACATAAGAAAGAAATCAAATTTTATTTAAATCCAATGCATGTATAATTTTCTTTTGTGTGAAGGTTGAAATGATGTTTCCATACATTTCAAGGAAGCTGCCATATTATCATGCACAGGTAAAATTTTAAAAAGATATAATCTCTATTACTTCTTGTACCTTTTAACAAACAAATAATGATAGATAGATCATACTTTATATTAATGGCCGGTAACAATTATCATATAAAGTTAACCACACGATATGTAACTTAAAAAAATCTATAATAAAATTTCTATACCTTTTGTCTTTTCTGTTTCTCATGAGCACTTACAGCATCGTTTTCAAATTCTATGCCGCTTTTGTTATTCTCTGCCACTCAAATAAGTTCTAATTTTGATGCTATCCGTTTTCCACTCTCAGTTTGTGATTAATAATATTATAGATTACAATAATGAAAGGTAGGTAAATACTTGTGGGATGCATTTATTGGATCATTTTATCATTATTTATAATGTCTGACTTATTCTTATCCTTTTTATCTATGAAATATCACTCAAATACATATGTTAAATTCGCCAAAAAAAAAAAAAAAAAAGATATACAGTCAATCCTTGTCACAGCAGATGAACGGGACACAGTTGTGACGAGATTACTAATCTCGCTACAACAAATTTTTATATATGAAACAAAAAATTTTAAAAATCCGTTATGACAAGAATTTGATTATTATTATAGTCTGCTTGAATGTATTGTGGAACTAACTATATGGTTGAGGGTATGATTATGAATTTAATATTAATATTAATTATTTGGAAAGAGTGTAAAGGTAATTTTTTATAAAAATTAGAAATCACGTATACCATAAAATCTGGGAGACAGCGCCTGTGACTAATAACAATTTTTTATAAATTGCACTGACAAACCATTAAAAAAAGACAATGTCACGGCGCTATTTTCCAGGCTTTGTAATATGACAATCAGTGAGTTTTTCTGATAATGAAGTAGCGTTACAACCTGATTATTCGCTTAATTATAATAATAGGGTTAACGGCTTAATATTATAGAATTTTAACAAAATTACCGCAGTAATCATAGTGATTAAATTTCCTCGTACAGATGTATGACCACAACGAAGTTATACGAACTCAATTGTACGAAATACGGCCGTACATCGTATGTACGAAGATTCTTCTCGTACAGAGGAATTGCACAATTCTGTTTTAATCCTTTTTCTATACCAATTTAAGCCCAATTTCTTACTTTAACTACAAAGTCATACCCTTACTTATATAAAGGAAATTGAACATAGAAATTTCAAGAACAATCTAATCAAGGCAATTTCATCAACCAATCATCGAAGAAATAAACGAATAAAGATGGGAACCGCAATTAGTCACAATTCAATTTTATATGACGCAATTAGTTGCAATTAATTGAGAAGTCATCTTTATAGACGAGTTGTTAAGAACCTGGTACAAGATTAACGTTTTTATTGATTTTTTTTATTTGAAGGGACAGTTATGTGATGAATATGAATATAGTACTGCGAGTATATAGAACATTTGAAAGCCTGCGTCATGAATAAAATATTTTGAAGGGTTTGAAATCTTTGAAATTTGCAGGTCATGCCGTAAGTAAAATATTTGAACATCACGAGCAAAATGTTTGAAGGCTTGCGCTGCAAATAAAATCTATATATTATTTATCTGATAAAAATAATTTTACGAAATGATTTTGACTAAAAAAGGTTTGTTTGAATATGGCAAATGTATGTATTTTATATAGATCTTAAGAAACAATGCCCAGGTTGAAATTTGGTTCAAAAGTTACGTTCGGATTTTTGTCATTTCGTAACAGCCTTACTATTCAAAGAATTTGAAAAGAGTGGATAGATCTTTATCAAAAAAGAAAATATCAGATAATAATTTGTGAATCAACAAATGGGAGCACTTAATCCCGTCATAAAAGCTACAGTTCAAAAAAATTCAATTGATTGTAATAACATTGCCTTGATCAAAAAATATGTTAGTAAAGTGAATGAAACACATAAAAAATATTTAATAAGGTATATATCTGCAGCTACTCAAACTCAAGCGAAACGTTTTCTTTTCTTTTGAAATGTTTATTAAATAATACCAATAGTATTATGAAGAGTTTCTCAAATTTGGCTTCATCCGATGATTGAAAAAATGATTGTAGACGAAATTGTTAACCAAGTACAGTTTAGCAAGCTTCTGGTAAAAAAAAAATGTGATGATAATACTCCAGATAATTGGTTTTTCTGTTAATTTTTTCTCGTCATAGGTTATGATTAAAATTCATACACAACTTATAAATAACAAACCTTTACTTCTTTTATTATATTAAAATTGTACTCGGCCCACGAGATACATTTATCACATAAACATAATGTATTTGAAACAATTATATTTTTAGTTGATGATAGGCCTTGGGCTTGGCTGGATCCGGGACCTTAAATTGGTCATGTTTTTAAACGATTGCAGTGGTCTACCTCTTTTTGTAAGATTTTAAAGATAGTATGATCGACATATTACAGTCCAGATGACTCAAAATGATATTATTAACATTTGATTTTATCATTCATTGATAATTAAATGTGTGAATGATGATTCATGTGACATAATAAATTATTTTGGTCACGAGTGCCATTTTAAAGAGTACTTTGCAGCAGTGTATTTCGGTGTGTAACTAATACAGAAGCATAGTGGAAGTTTGTTGTTACATGAACTGTTGTACAGAACTCATTGCTTCTGAAACTTCGCCAGTATATGGTTGTTACTTCTCTAAATTGGAGATCAAGTTCAGATCCAATACAAATCGAGTTTATCATTTACTTTTTTTTTTATTGCCAGAATGTTTGCCGTGTATTGTAAAGCTACATTGCACAATATAAAAAATTAGTGTAACATTTCAAATTTCCACTACGCTTAATACAGATTTTTACAAATTTATACAATGTATGACGTTACATCCGCACATTCCACCCAAATATCTTTGCTGACTGTTTTTTTTATAACGAAAAAATATTTTTGATATCCTGCCATATTTTTTTAATGCAATTGTTATTTTTCTTTGAATGTTTGCCATCAACAATGACATGATATGTTAATATGGTATAATTGATCAGTTAGCAGAATTTTTATTTTAAAATTTTTAAGATTTATAATAATAATAAATAAAGAAAATCGGAAAAATTGATCAAGAATTCAAACCAGTTTAATTCATATTGTTACTAATCACTATAATAAACCAATAAAATAATTGACTCAAGGAGAATATCCCAAACAACAGAGAAATAAATATTCCAGCATTATAAAATGTAACAGACCTTTAATTTTCTGATTTAATTAAACGAAGGGACTTAAATGATTTGATCACTTTATAAATAACTTGAAAATAATTCTACACAGAAGGCTTAATAATACATTTAATTAGAATAAATTAAGATTTCAAAGAAATCGGAGAGCTAGATAACATGTATAAATAACGTTGTAATTTTCTCAACTTCATGTATCATATCTTTATCATCATCTTCGTCATCATTATTAATATCAATTAATTTATCATCATAATAATCATCTAATAAATAACATTGTCCTTAGCCTTGTCCTTCTACTTGCCCTAGTCCTTATCCTCGTTGTTGTCTTCGAATTTATATTTTTGTAATGATAATAAATCTATCTCTAAAAAATAAATCCCATGCATAATTATTATTTTTTTTCTTTTCTTTTCTTTTTAGTGAGTGTGTAATATTTAATAAATTTTTTTTAGAATAGTTTGGAAACGTACCTGACTTGGTAGAAAATAGCTAGAAGGGCGCCCATCAAGAAACGTGATCAGGATATACAGTGTAAAATCTAAAGAAGATACTGTTTAGTATTTTTTAGTATAAGGAATAATTTAATGATAGTGAAAGATAGCTTTGAGAGTAATATACATTCGCGGAAATTGTTGTTACGATTTAATATAAATAAATTGGAAGAAATTGTATTAACGTTGTTGGCATATTATTAGAAATAAATATTGAGATTCACCGTGAGAAGCAGATTTTATCACACAATTGCAGTGTCTGAAGTTGAAAAAATATATTTATTTTAGTGGATGATCTGCAAGTGAGAGACACACTATTATGTAGTCGTAGATCATCATATCGCGTCTCAACTCTTGAAAAAGATTGATTGATTGACTGAATAGATAATAATTAATAATAGAAGAAAGATAATTGACTTTTCAACATTTTCTTTTTAATATATAGGAAAGTCTGGCAAAGGCGATCGATAAAATTATTTTATTGGTGGAACGAATTTTTAATTATTTGTTTATTTATTTGGGCGTAAAAATTTTTTAATTCTACGTCTAATTTGAAAAAAATCAAAAGCCAATGCCAAAAAAATTGTCAGTTAATTTACTTTATATGTATTTTTAAATTTTTGGAATAAACGTGATGTCAGGTGCCATTTTACACACTTTTTATTTTATTTTTTTTGTATATACAAAACTTTATTATTTATTTTGTGATTAATATAATTTACAAAAATAACATGTGGCATAAAAATTTACACATAATTGTTGAACCTTAGAAAAAGACAATGAAAAGAAAAAGAAAATCTTAAATAAATATTGAAATTTATTATTATTGTTTATTATTATTATTATTATTTTCTAAATCTTATTTTATATAAAGCATATTCAGATTTTGACACTTTTTTTGAATTGTCCAATTTTAAAAAAAAAAAAAAAATTCTATAAAATAAAAAACTTTTTATAATACAAAAATGAAGTCGAATGAATTAATATGCGTGCGTGTATATGTTATGTACAATTTTTAAATTAATATTATGATTTTTTTTTTGTCCAAGACCAGAATCTTGAAGTTCAATTTTTTCAATTACATTTTTCCGAAAATCTAAAATTAATAAAATATTTAGAAAATCATAATTCTAACAATTTTATTATATATAATTAGTAATTAATTAATAATTATAGATATTTACCCAATGTTCAATGGATTCATCTTCGTTATTGTTATTGCCATTGTTAATAATAGTATCGTCATCACTAATAATATTACTAAGATTATCACTATTTTTAGTAAATACCATATCTTCGCTGATTTGTTTATTGTTGGAAATATATTTTAAAATCCAATCATCCCAAATTGAGTCAGAAGAAAGTTGGTCGATTGTCAATAAATTTTCAGAATTCGATGATGTTTGACGTGAATGTCTTCTTGAATGATTTCTTGAATGATTATAAAATTTTGCTGTTACAACATTTGCAATTGATTCAATATTTTGTTTTGATTGTGATTTTAGTTGTTGTTGTTGTTGATAATTAATATTCAAGTCTTCTTTGTTATTATTATTATTGTTATAGTTATTGACTTTATATTCAAGATTATAAATTAATCTGTTATTAATTGAACAAACTGTTACTTGAGCAGCAGTTAAGTCTGGATTTATTGCCTCGTATATTTCATTACTGCTGCCGCTACTATTATTTCTATTATTATTACGTGAACAAACATTTTGCTCGTACCAATGAGAATAAAATGACATTTTTTTTTATTTTAAATTTTTTTTTTTGAAAATTTTTAAAATTTTTTTTTTTTTTGAAATTAATATATTTTACGATTATTTTATATGTATTTTTTTTATTTGTTATAAAATAATTCTATTAATTATATAAAAAAAATGAATTTAGGAAAATTTTTTTGAGAACTGACGAAAAATGAATTTTTTTAAAGATATTTATAAGAAATTTTAATATAGATTTTTTTATGTATGCATGTGTATCAACAGATCGATTATCAAAATCATATAATGTTTGTTGTTAAATATTTATTTATTTATTTATTTATAACTGATAAGGTATATATTTTCTAGTAAAAAAAGTTCAATTACATAATATGATAGTGTATAATTAATTACAGTACAATTATAGTATATTTTTCATATAATAAAAAAATTTTGATTTTGATCATCAAAAAGAAATCACTTATTGTTTATTTATAGCATTAGTATGATATGAATATGAATGTTTTATATACATGCGGAAATTTTACTTTTAAATTTCCATTTTTAGAAATAAATTTTTTTTTATATTTCAATAAAAAAACGGTCCCATGCTTTGCATTGTATGAATTAAATTAAAAAAAAAAACGAAAAGGTAAAAAATCGAATATGCATGCAGATTAGTCAAGAAAATGTGCTATATATGTAATTTAATTATTTGACCAATTATTACTATTTTGTGATTATGAGACCGCCAATCAACAATCTATCTAACAAAGCATTCCATTCCTACTTTTCCCATACCAAATTCTATTATATATATTCTTTATCGTTTCATCGTCAATTTAGCTTACTGATTAGTCAATCAAAATGTGCGGGCGGGAGTCGGTAAGTTATTGAAGAGGAAATAATAAAGTAAAAAAGATCAACAAATCAATTTTTTTCTCAAAAATGACTACTTATTGTAGTACATATTTATTATGATCAATAACAGCCCAGTCACATTTATTTATCTGCGTTTTTAAGCCATTGCCATTCTCATCTTTATTGAAGCATTAATAGCAGTACATGGTAAATGTTCATCTTGAACTTTGATAATTATTTAAAACAAACGCGCGAATAATTTAAAATTGTTACGATTAATTCAATGTGTATGATTGATATTATTGATATTAATAATTTGAATATAATTGCAAATTCGATTCGAATGTAATTTACGCTTTATTATAATAATAATAATAATAATTAATTATCCAAATTCACGCCTTTTTCCTCTTATATTATTGACAATTTCCTTTGATGTGTAGCATGGCATTTTTTAATAATTTAAGACACGTTTTCCAAAATATTAATTCTGAAATTTAAAGTAGACGCCGAAAGAAAAAAATATAAATAAAAAACAAATCATCATCTTCACATTCATATGCGACTGGATTTTGCCGAAATTCATTTTTTGTAATACGACAACATTTCATAAAAAGGCATATCTACATCTAATCATAAATTAATAAATATTTATTTTTTATCTTAACAAAATTCTCACACTAGAAATTTGTGATTTTTCTTTATTGATGTTTTAATTCCATTTTTAATTATAATTTTTACCCCCACCCACCATATGACGTAACATTCACTTCCTTTTAAATACAAAAGAATGAACAATAACTTTTTGTGGAGGAATTAATTTATTGCGAAAAAAAAAGGGAAAAAGACATCATTATCCATTGCTGTTTTGGTTGGCCAATAAATAATTGTGTTAATGCGATTTTTTCATATGTGATCATCTATCTTATTCAGTCACAAAAGGTATCCTTTTTTCATCAATTCATCATTTACTAATGTAAATATGTAGTATTCAATACAGACTTTTTTCATCATATTGTCGCCCATACAAAGCTTTCTAGAGAGAATTCGCTTATGAAACAACAATTAATTCTTTTACCTTATAGCCGACCTTTTCCTTCAATATATCTTTATATGTATAACTTCAACAACTCTGCGAGTCTTCATTCACAGCCCCAATAAAACATCCCGACATTATCACATCTCCTAATTTCTTGTCGTTCCACAGCCACTTTTGACTTCAGTTGATAACCTCTTCACCTAGGAATTCTTCTTTACATCTTCTCTTATGAAATCAGTGTAGATAGCACGACCATAGAATTTGTTGAATTGGTTATGCTATTTTCTTATACTAGACTTTTTTACCTAATACAATATAAGATTGGATAAGATATTGTATGAATCCAGCGATTTAATCCGATTGTACATTATTCGAACTATGTAAAATTTAATAATAGGGGTATCAGGCTGGTTATCTTTGTATCTTGAAAAAAAAAAAAAAAAACGGTATTACATTTCGTCAAATTTTTTTTTCCGTAGAATAAATAAAGCATATCAATTAAAATCAGCAATTTGAGGGGGGACAGTCAATTGCTAAGCCACTTGTACATATATAAATAAATAATTTATCACCTTACTTTTCTCTGTGCGTTTATTTACTATTTGTTAGCAACATATCATGCCAGATAGTTATCTTAAACATATATTTGAATTTTTGGAATATGATATGCACTCATTACATTCATATTTGTTAGTGAATCGAACATGGTGAACTTTTGTTGTTGGGATCTCATGGAGGGTCACTGAAAGTATATGAATCTAGTTTCAGACTTAAAATCTGGTGTTAACCTTTGTTCAACATTACTAAGATCGTTAAAAACTCATCTAGTAGAAGAAGTTAAAGATGTGAATCCTTTTCTAGTGCCCAATAACTACAACAACATTAATAACCATTTTTCAAACGTACCTATAACCTGCCACCTTGGTGAATTTTAATGAAATTTTGTAGCATGGTTACTGGACAGATAGTAAGAATCAATATCACAATTTAATCAAATGTCTGTTCTAAAAACTTGCCACCTCGATCATTGATTCTAATTTTGAAGAAGATATAAAACAAATGTTGATATTGTGTAAGCAACTCGAATGATTATTTTTGATTATTAGTCTCGAAAAGAAAATCGATTACCAGGTGCTATTTCAAACCCTAATTCAACAAATTTTTCAAAGTTATGTCTATTTAATCATGGATGGGATATATCGCACATCTACTTGGAAAACTTTTTGAATAAGTTAGTATATATAGAAAAAAAAAACCAGATATATGCATCGAAAGACATCATGAATTTAATTTCAATAGAATCGGAAACGATCACTCTCTTTTAAATACCATAGAAGATCTAAAAATATTGGATTTTGACATTTGAACTTATCAATGTTGGAAAAGAATTCAATGACACCATTTATGATTGCATGGTTCGATATTATATATATATATATATATATATAATAGATATTAATATAGGTTAAATAATAGAATAGAATTGCATATTAATGATAAATATAGACCACTCTTATTTTATTTGTGCATATAATTATAATTATTTAATATTAATGTTGAATTGCCTTTTTATTTTATTATTTTAAAAATTCCTAAACCAATTCCAACAATAGAATTTAATAAATCCATTGATAACGAATCACCAACTTTTCAAGAATCAGCTCATTTCTGGAATTATTTAGATTCCAACTTTGCTGTCATTATCATGCAGTATTAATAAATTTATATGATAATGATCTTTGTTGCATTTGTTATTATGGATGTTTGATATTGGTTTAGGCAAAAAATTCACCATATATTTAATCTTGATCCAAAGATGTGATAAGAATTTTGTATCCGCATAATAATAACAATTTTGCAAGTTTTTGACAACATTTATCCACAATATTACAAATTTTCCTGGTCCCAGAGTATTTATTATATAAATAATTACTTGATATATCAAACTAGAAATTTAATGAGTATAAATAAACAATAGCCTCTCTCACCTTGAATAGATGATGCATGTGCTACATCAAATTATCATCATTATTATATGTTGCAATTTTGAAGATGAAGGGAAGGTGAAATAATAGCTATTGATGAGTTTGATAATAATATATTTAATATTATGATTATTATTATTGAATATTTTGCAGTATAATTGTATTTAGTGATTTTGATGAAAATAGTAGCATAATCATTATTTTTACCCTTGATATTAAATTTCAAATTCAGGTTTTTTAAAAATAAAAAATAATATTTTTATAGTAAATAATTTTACCAGTCCAGTTATATATATATAAAAAGAAAGTAAAAAATATTGTATTTTTATCTTTTGAAATGGGAAAAATAATTTGTAGATCAAAAATTTATTGATTATCTGAAAATAGTTTTACTAAACTCTTTAAAAAAAAAAATGTTGATTAATTCAAAAATTTTATTTAAAAATCCACAAAAATTTTCCATGCTTTCAATATATTCAAAGCATTTTATTTATAATAATAATAATCATTGTTTGTTAAAAAGAAATTCATCAAATAGTAATGCTACTAATAGTAATAATAATAATAAGGTAAAAAATTAAAAAATTTATTAACAATAAATAATATGATAATATCGATGATGATAATGATAATGAATCAATTGATTTTTTTTTTAATTAGAGAGATTTGGATTTATCAAAATTTTCTTCTGATTTAATTAGAAATTTTAGTATTATTGCACATGTAGGTAGGAATCTGATTCTTTATTTTAAAAAAGTACCTGATTAATTATCAACTAATTAAATAATTGATTAATTACTTAGATCATGGTAAAAGTACATTAGCAGATAGGTAAACAATTAATAATAATAAAAATAATCAATTAATAAATCTTTGCTCATATATTTAAACAATATCTTCTTATATAGATTATTAGAATTAACAGGTAAAAGAAGAAACACAATATAACTAGTAGTAAAAAATCAATTTATAAATTTTATAATCAAGTATCTACTATTTACTATTTACTTTTTTTATTTATATTAGAAACAATATCTATTAACAATTCTAAGCAACAGGTTTTAGATAAACTTTCAGTGGAAAGAGAAAGAGGAATCACTGTCAAAGCACAAGTAATAAATATTCTAATGATAATAATATTAATCTTTTTACAAATAATTAATTAATAAATTAATAATCAATTAATTAGTCATGTTCAATGTTTTATAAATATAAGAATAAAGAATACCTACTTAATTTAATTGACACACCTGTAAGTTACCATGGTTATTATTATCACCATTATCATCATCATCACTATCATTAATCATGATAATGTTAATATGTTAATATTAATACTATTAATTTTTAGGGACATGTAGATTTTAATTATGAAGTGTCAAGATCTCTTGCAGCATGCCAAGGAACCATACTTTTAATTGATGCCACACAAGGAATACAAGCTCAAACTGTTGCAAATTTTTACTTGGCTTTTGATCAAGGATTGACAATAATACCTGTTATTAATAAAGTAATAATAATAATAATAATTTCATTTATCTAATATATTGTTACTTTTAAAATATTATTAATAATATTTTTGTTGCTATCATCAATTTTAAATATATATTTTTAAAGATTGATCTTCAAGCAGCAAATGTTGATAGAGTTATCAAACAAATTAATAGCACATTCAAACTAGACACTTCAGAGATTTTATTGGTAATAAATATTCATTATTAGATTTTAGATTAGATTGGATTTTTTATTTATATTTATATTTATATTTATATTTATATTTATATTTATATTTACATTTATATTTATGATTAATTTCTAGACTTCTGCAAAATCGGGATTAAATGTTGATAAACTATTGCCAAAAGTAATTGAACAAGTACCACAGTATGATTTATAATAATAATAACAATAACATAATAATAATAATAGTAGTAATAGCAAAAATGAGAAAAAGTAATTGCAATGTTTCTTATTAATAATAAATCAATATCTTTATTTTTGAATAAATGAATATCTTAGACCAAGTGGTGATATAAACAAGCCATTGAAAGCATTTTTATTTGATTCATGGTATGATACTTATGTTGGAGTTATTTCTCTCATGTCAATTGTTGATGGAAGGTTACAAAAAGGTTTTTATTTTATTTTCAAAAAATCATTTTAAAGAAAAAGTTGATTTGATAAAATATTTTTAAAATATTGATTTTTTTTTTCAATAGGTGATAGAATAGTATCAGCTTATTCAAATAATAAATATGAAGTTTTGGATATTGGAATCATGTATCCTGAACAAGTTTCCACTGATTATTTGTATGTTTAATAACAATATTATTATATTATAATATTAATAATTAGAATATAACTTAAAAATTCATTTATATAAAGGCATTCTGGACAGGTTGGATATGTTATATGTGGTATGAAGGCTGCTAGTGAAGCTCATATTGGTGATACATTTTATCATGACAAAATTCCTGTAGATCCATTGCCTGGATTTGAACCTGCAAAACCAATGGTAAAGAAATTTATGCTCATTAATATTGTATTATATATAAATAAATGTATTCATGTTATTTTTAAAAGGTTTTTGCAGGTATATTTCCTGTAGATACTAATGAATTCAATAAATTAGATGAGTCTATAACAAAATTGACTATTAATGATGCGAGCGTTTCTATTCAAAAAGAAACAAGGTAAACAAAGCAACCAGAAAAGAAAAATCCAAAGTGTCATAATTGTTAAATTCATTTATATTTTTTTAATTTAAAGACTATTCGTTTATTTATTCGTTTGCAAACTTGTAGTATGGCTTTAGGACAAGGTTGGAGAATAGGATTTTTGGGTACATTACACATGGATGTATTTAGACAAAGACTAGAAGAAGTAAGGAAAGCACAACGGCAACGTTGAATAATAATGATTCAATGACTTTTATTTTTATGTTTATTGGAAAAAGAAATTCTATTCATAGGAATATGGTGCAAATATAATAATAACCCAACCAACTGTACCTTATAAAGGTAAATTTTTGTTTAATTTTTTAATCAACCGTTAAAAAAATTTCTTTTCTAAAATTATTATTGTAAAATAGTTGTTTATAAAGATGGGAAAGAGAGTTTTGTTCAGAATCCAACGGAATTTCCTGATTCTGTAGATTTACAATATAAGATTTTAGAATTTCAAGAGCCAATGGTTTTAGCAACAATTATATTACCAGAAGTATTTATTATTTTCTGGTTTATTTAATACAAATTTCTAATTTATCTTCTTTACCTTTGAAGTATTTCTAATCCATATTATTATTTTATTTTATTAATTTATCTATTTATCAATCTACTTAAAAAAAAAAGGAATATATGGGTTCTGTGATGGATCTTTGCGGTGTTTGTATAAATTATAATAATAATTTTTTATTTTAATTTAAAAAAATACATGATAATAACACTTTTATATTTTTGTGTTTAGACAAAAAGAGGTGAACAACAAGAATATAATTATCTTGATGAGTCCCGTGTGATGATGAAATATGAAATTCCACTTGCAGAAATTGTAATAGATTTTCATGATGAATTGAAATCAAGATCAAGTGGTTATGCAAGGTAATAAATAAAGCTTGAAAACAAAAACAGTCTTATCTATTGAATCTGATTATTTATTTAGAATATTTCTATTTCTATAGTTTTGATTATGAAGATATGGGATATCAGAAATCCGATATTGTTAAGGTTATAATGATTTTTTAAATAAATAATTTATTTGTTAAATTATCAAGTTATTAAAATTATCAAAATTATTAAAGATGGATGTCTTGCTTAATAAAAAACCGGTGGATGCATTAGCAGCAATTATGCATAGATCGCAAGTTAATCGTGTTGGTAAAGAATGGACAAAAAAATTGGCCGATGTTATACCAAAGTATTAATACTACTATTATTATTTATTTGCTATTATTATATATTTATTGTTATATTTTTCTGGATAAATTTAGGCAATTGTATGAAGTGATTATACAGACGGCCATTGGAGGGAAAGTTATTTCAAGAGAAACGTAAATTATTAAAATTTTTTTTTGTTAATAGCAATCTATAATACATATTTATATTTTTTTTATGTATTTATATTTAGAATTTCTGCATTAAGAAAGAACGTTACTGCTAAATGCGTAAGCTGATAATTTATTTTTGTCGCTAAAACCAATATCATTAATATTATTAAATCAATATTATTTTCTTTTTTCAAGTATGGTGGAGATGTTACAAGGAAAATGAAATTAATTGAAAAGCAAAAAGAAGGCAAAAAGAGGATGAAAATGGTTGGTGAGTAAATTTTTATTTTAACTAACTACTACGATCATTATTATTATTATTAGTAACGACATTCATTATTATTATTTAGGGAATATTGAGTTACCTCAAAGTGCATTTTATGATTTTTTATCTAAAGGTCAAAAGTCAACATCAAAATCAAAAAAATAATTGCAACAACTATGGAGTTAATCCAATAAAATTTTATTTATTTTAAATATATATATAAATAAAGTTTTTTATTTTTTTGAATTAAAATTTTTAATACCAAAGATTTAAATAAACCTAATTAAATAATTTTTTTAGATTTTTAATTACCACTTTTTCTTTAATATAAACCACCAATACCGTAACCAGTAGATGTACCATAACCTTTATAACCATCATGACTACCAACATAAGGAATACCTCCAAAAAATTTACTATCATATCCGTTTCCGTATGATCCAGAAGTACCATATAAAACACCACCGTACAATCCACCGATCGGAGTACCACCGCCAATGAGTCGTTTCTTTAAATTGATGATGCTATCACTACTACCTCTCTTGATGTAGGGAGGAGTAAAGGCACCATGACCTAAATATGATAAACCGAGTGGCTGGAATCCAGCAGTTAATGGTATAGTTGCAGCAGAGGCAATAATTGGAGCTGTCGCTGCTGTTGCTACAAGAGGTGCTATTTTTGTTGTTGCTGCAATGGGTGCTGCAACGGCTTCTGTTAAAGGTGCAGCAACAAACCGTCTATTTGCTTCAGTGTTGTTAATAACGTTGTTTGGTGATGATGATAAATTATCAGGTTCTGCCTCGCGTTTATTATTGTCATTATTATCACCATTATTATCGGCATAGATGTCAAGTGCTGGTTCGCGTTTTTCAGTTGTTTCAATTACTGCTTTTGTTACTAAATATTCGTGTCGTTTATCCATTAGACTGCCACTTTCACCTCTAATAATCGACTTTGCGTCGTCGTCGTGAATTGGAATTGCATTACTGATTGTAATAATGAATGGGATTAAAACCGAAGAAACAAGTACAACGTATAAATTGAATTTTGCCATTTTTTTTTTTAATGGAGTAATATTATTTATTTTATTATCTATAAGAGGAATGAAATTTTATTTTTTTCTAATCTCCTTGACAATTTTATAATAATCGAAAAACGTAAAGGCATTGATTAAATTATCTTATGGCATTGTTACATTTCTTATTCCAATTGATTAAAGCATCAAGTAAATAAAAGATTTATTGATTTTAAAAAAAAAAATCCTAAGAATATTATTTAAATAATGCAATCTTAAAAAAACCGCATTAATCATGAATTAATTAACGGTGAATAGTTGCCCATATGGAGGGCCTTTCAATAGAACTTTTAAAGAAAAGCGCGTCTCGGACATTTTTTCTGAAGTCAATATAAAAAATAACAAATTCAAATATGATAAGAAAAATCTTTGATGAGGTCAATAATAAATTATTTTAATTATATTGGGCATTATACTATATAATTGATTTTTTATACAACTTCAGGCATTAAATTATTCTAAAATTAAATCGGGAGTGATCAATCAATGTTATAGCATAACTAAATTTCCGGAGAATAACTATGCAATGGTTTAAATTATATTCCAGAAGAACTTTAAAAGGTTATTTGCAAAAAGTCATTCAAATAATTTTGATGTGACTCGTTAGATGATAAATATGTTAGTGGAAAATAATACTTGTTATATTCCAAATTTGGGATTTTGATCAAACAAAATATGTGGAATCACATCATATATTGCACCTAAGTTCTTCGAAAAAGAAGTAAAAAATACAAAAGAAGTCAGATGGGAGATATTTTCAGGTTGTCCATCATTTAGTGACAAAGCACATGATCATTATTTAATTATAGACTTGTAAAAATTTATGACCATCAATTTTATCAAATATCCAAAAGAATGTGTGGAAATGGTGAAAAATGTTGAGGTGGATGTTTGGATATGAAATTTTGATTAGCTAATTTGAATTTCAAATAAGTGAATTGCAAATTCACTAAGAGAAAAGATGACTTGCAACGGACTTGTTCAAAATTACTAACTTGCAATTTTGAATTTTGATCCAATTGCAAGTCGCACAAGTATAAATCCACAGAATGTATTGATTTGCTTACAATTTTTAATCAACCATGATCATTTCAAAATTAGGTTTAGTCAAGTTGGCATATTTTGATACCCATCATATCAGACAAAAATCAATTTTGTAATACAAAAAAATAAAAATAAAAATGCACAAATCTTTATAACCTTTACTAGTTTGCTATCATTATATTATATATTATAAAGGATTGTAGTTATTTTTGATACACTTTATTGATAAAAATTAGATTTACATCAAACTTCATGAAACATAAAATATATTTTGATTTTATGAATTTGTTCAACGTAAAATTATTCATTTGATTTTGCTTGGGTTTGGATAGTGAAGCAGTTGGTAGTCCTGACCTTGGAGGCTATACTATCAATCAAATGCATGTTTAAAAAATGAAATTCATACGCTATTCAAAATGATCAAAGACATTTATAAACACTTACCATACACCAAAACAGCAAATGATTGCAATTTCGAGGTGTTCTCATCAGATTGGTATGCATACTGATACCAAAGAGATATTGTCATTGCTACAATTAAGAGAAATAGAACTAGTTAGATGCCATATTTAACCAAATGACTTGAATTACAGATATATATACCTTTTAATCATTTCTCTAAATTATCGTTTTGTTGGATATTATGGTGGCAAACACATTTTCTACTACTTTGATAAATCTAACATTATGTTCATCTCCAAGTCTCTCTCTTGTTTGATGAAATTGCCTTGTCATTTTCATGAATCATTTTCAATTTCTCCACCAGTTTATTGTCAATTAGAAATTAGATTCGCAAATTTAGGAATATTAACTTTCAAAGAGGAGCAACTTATGTTTTTATCACAGGGCATCTTTAACATTGTAAAAAATTGATTGTTGATATTCACTATTATCTAGCAAAGCACTATGCTTATACAACAGTTGGAGGGGTTTTGGTATAAGAAATTTGGGGTTACTTCATGTATAGAATTTCTGACACCAGAACAATTCATATATTTATGGCATTACGACATTGGAGCACGTCAAAAGTCATAATAGTTTGGACTGCATGCATAGTAATTAATTTATTATTTAATGACTTACTCACAAATCATGTAATTTTTCAATTATAACTGCAATTCCATATTATCATAATATCTAAAATCATATTAAATATTATTTACTATTGCAGTTGTTTCACGGATCACGAATTAAAAAAAAAAAATGGCGAATCACATATTATAATTAAATCATAAAAAAAAGGATCTCTAAATAATACCCCGAAATTATATATTTTAACTAGTGATAATTTATTAAGCTAAACATATTCAATTAATTAAATCTGGTTATATGCATATTATCAGTAAAGATTTATAAATAAAGTAATTAATAATCTAAAAATCATTGTATTATTATTATTTTTTATCAATTATTTGAAAAACTTCCAATTCATTAAATCTACTACCATCTACCACATTGATGCTATTATAAGTTAGTAAGTTATTAATTTTAATACTACCATCTACATTAAAATAAAAATCACAAGGAATACGACCAAAAACTGGTAAATGGGCAGAAGTACACCAAATTGCACACTTATAATCATTTTTAATAACGTAACTAAGTTGTGCAGTATTGATATCATTTCTATTATTAATATTAAAAATAAAACTTTCAGTTGTATTTTTATATACACCAGTTCCATTCCAATCACATGGGTTATAACCACCAACTATTTGGTCTGAATTTTGTATTTTGCCAACTGAAAGAGTTTTGTTGATATTATCACAATTTTGATGAAATATAGCTGCACTTAAACCATCTCTGCTACTACGATACAGAAGTTTGAACTCATATTTGACTTCCTTGAATGAGGTATATGGTGGATTTTTTCTATCAATCCAACTTGCAAAAAGCAAAATAAGGTTTTGATTAATTGTCAATGATTCAAGTGTTGGTTTCAAATTTGAAATCCTTGATGGTAATAAATTTAAATTTTGTTGACTATCAGGATATAAATAAGATTGTAAAAGGTTGTTCCATAAAGTTCTAGGAAAAAGTATGTCGTATGGTGCAATTTTATTAAAAAAGTTATCTTTAGAAATACCCTGAAATCTTATTAGAGGAAAAAATTCTTTTAATGTGTTGCCTAAATCAACAAAATTTTGTATTGACCAATCTTCAACATTGATATTAATGATTTTTGGATGTTTGGCCAATCCCCATTTAAGAATGCCTTCCCAAATAACTATCTCATCAACAGAAAAATCATCTCTCTTAAGAATTTCCAATAGAATTGATTTTTCTAATGATTTAAATTCATTTGATTCAAATAATTTTTCACTGTATTCACAAAACTTTTCCAAATAGATGTTTTTCAATTCATTAAAACTTTCATTAGAATAAATCAATTGTAGAATTTTAACTGGATTTTCTTTTATATAATGGTCATAATTTTCAATAAAATATTTCATCGCATATTCGTAAAGCAACTCAATACCAAATTCATCTGCTGCAGTTAATAGTTCCAATACTTCAGCACCAGAATAATTTTCAAATTCTATTTTACATGTATATAAAAATCTTACAAAATAAATAAATTATTAAACAGGTTATTATTATTATAATTTAATACAATAATAAATTTATTTAAACTTACTTGAGAATAGGTTTGAAAATTTTTTCATTGATATTAGCTTTTTTAATAATACAATATCCATTTTCTTTTGTTGCATTACTTAATGCATTGTTAAAAAATGGGCAATGAGCTGATATGATAGGTGCATGCGCATGAACTTCTTTAATGTTAGATTCTACACCAATACATATTTTTACATCATAAAAATTTTCAGTATTTAGCAACCTCTCATTTTCATTAAAATATTTTTCAAGTAATGAATTCATTTTTTGAATGACCAATCACATGTTAATAAAAATCCATTATAAAATTTAATTTTTTGAGAAATAAAACCAAACATTAAGAAGTCCATACACATGCATCTACGTATCAGCTCATTGTATATTTTTTAGCAATTCATTAAGTGATGCAATCCTATACTCAAACATGAATAAATTTATTATTATCTATTTAATTTTATTTTTATTAAATATAATAACAATAATAATATGTTTATTTTGAAAGGTTTTATATGCATGTAAGGTTTGAATTTGAAAATTATTCTAGAGCTGAAAAATTTAGAATCAAAAAGTATATGTTTTGTAAATATAGTTATTGAACCAAATGAATGGAAAAACCAATTGTATTGGATAGATATTCTCAAAGAAAAGATATTTCTATTTGAGTGAGATCGGTGGAGCAAAAAGACATTCTTTTTATTGCTTTAAGGTGTTTCTTGGAAACTTTTATATGTTGGACATGGAGATTGAGTATCAAAAGTTTAACATTTTTAATTTTTTTAAACATTTATCACCAATACTGACCAAACTTAATAATAATATTATTATTACATGAATACCAAAAGGATAATAAAATACTTGACGAAAGAACAGATGCAATAACGTGAGAAGGAAGGAAAGTCCAAACAGTGATTGATAAAGGATTAAGATTTTGCATGATAAAGTCTAGAAAAGTTGGAAAAAGTGATCATTGTAGATAAATGACCAATTAATTAGAAAATGTAAACTGGTAACTGTAATTAAATAGACAACAAGAAAAAAATTTCAAAATAACATGTTTAAATTGAAGAAAGAAATAAGACACCAGAGTATAGAAACATAAATGAAACGAAGGGATTTATTTTTTAATTCGAATGAACTTGCAAGAGATTGAGCAGTAATGCGAAAACAATAAATGTATTATTTAATGTTTTTTCAAATGTTCATCTCTAAATATTGTTTACCTTTCTTTGCTAGATAATTCTTTTGCCTTCTCTCTGTACCGATGATTGTTTTAAACTGGCTGCATATCGTTTGATCCAATTTTCTATTGTTGTTGTTTCAGGTCATCCTCAGAACCAATTTCACCTTCATACACCAAATTTGAAGTTTCCTTTGCTGTCATTCAATCTGATTTATTTACATTAACTGCCAAAAAATAATCCTCAGGTAAAATTTTATTCTTCTAGTCACTCGTTTTCTCCATATTTTTGGTTGTCTTTCAAAGCCCATCTATCCTTTTTTTTAATTCAAATGTTGTTGATATACAGTATATAAAGTAATAAAAATAAAAATACTCACCTTCGATTCATTTATTTAATAAGGTGTTATATTAGCGCAACCAGCACTCTTCTCCTAATATTTTATCAGTAATTACGTGATCTATAGCAACAGTTGTTGCTTCCATCGAATAAAAAATTGATTTCAATCAACAAGTCAAATGGAAAAAACAAAACGCCTACCATAATTATTCAACAAAATTTTATCATCAAAACCCAAAATGCTTGGTCCAGAAAAAATTTTCGTTTATCACTTCACTTGGTGTTGAATAAATAATATGTATTACAGCTATTTGGGTAATAAATCCTTTTTCAGTGTATTAATTATTATTGTTGATTATTGCATTATATATTTGTCAAATGGTTAAATGATATCAGTTGGTAGCATACTTGCCGTCGAAATCCCTGAATTACGGCAATTTGGCATTACGGTACGCAGTAAAACCGTAATTCCGCATCAACATAGAATAATAACCACTTCATATTGATTCTTGAAATGATCCCAAAATTTAGACTCCTTTTTCTTATTTGACCACAATTGTAAAATAAGATTATTTTATTTATTTATTGTAATCAATATGATTATCAGTTATTTAATTTTATGGAAATAAATTTGATTAAATTTCTTTATCAATAATAAAATGATAAAAGATTTGCCGAACCATCAAATCTTTAACTTCTGGTGGAACATCGCATGATTTCAGATCATTAACTCCTTCTATAAGCCATGTCACCTATTTCCTTCAAGTTATTAGTATTTGAGAATGGAATACTTACAACTTGGTGTAATTTGTAGGATGAATGTATTTTCTTTTATTTTAAATAACATAATTACAAATGCAAAGGCGTAGCCTTGATTTAGAATTTATTTGAGACAAGCACAATTCAAATAAATTATAATAACAATAATTTTTCTATCTACAGGTTTCTCTCTTGCAACACAAATAATTATCAACGATCGTTGATAATATCCTTTGTTTACCATCCAATCCACAATTGTTTATCTGAATTGAAACAGTTGTATAATCTAAAAATCAACAAGGAATATTTCTTATTGTTTATCACTAGTAAACTTGAAAATGACGGTAACAATTCGCGAGTTTATTTAGAACATGCACGTTGACTCAAATTCGGAATTGAAGTAAAGAACTTTCAAATTACAAGATGCTTACTTATTAAAGTACTTAGAATGTGTAAGTTGTAATAGCATATATTGGAGATTTATTGGATCTTTTTCCGGGGGTTATGGCTTAAAATCCTAGGTTCGTCACTAAACAACTATCACGGAGAAAGAAATAAAGTTGTCATTTGCCTCTAGTCAGACGTTGTCATTTATGCTATAGCAAAAACTTTATAAACCATCATCAAAGAAATCAACGATTTTAACAGATTACGAAGGCAAAAGTTCAATATTATTTATCATCATGCAAATATTACCGTAAAGTCTGGAAAGATAGCATCCCCTTTTTACATATGTGTAACATTTTTTTTATATTGACGCTCAATTGTTTTAAAGTAGGGGGTGCTATCTTTCCAGACTTTACGGTACAAAGACATGGTTCAAAAATATTAATAAAAAAATGTGAACGCGAATTCATTGTTTGAAACAATACGATCGATCTAAAGACCCATATTGGTGCGTGATAGTATTAGTTTCCAAAACTATAACATAAGTCCTGACTTTTGATTTAGTTTTGACGACCAACGCTAATGCGTAGTTTTTTAAAAATGAAATGTTTAATTTTTTAAGGCATTTCCAAAAATGGAAATCACATGATATAGTTTTTGGTTAAATTATTCAGTATTTTTAATTTCTAAACTCCCTATTGAATAAGGGTTTGGGGATAACCAACTGACACTAATTATTGGTAAAGTAATAGTTAATCTGAAAAGTTTTATTTATTTATTATTTCAGAAAAAGTTTTTTACAAAGTCAAAGTTCGACTCGGTTTTTTTTTTAATATTTCTGTAATTTTAGTAAACAAATAAAAATAAATAAATAAATATGGATAAGTATATGATAAGATAGATTTAAATTTTAAAATAAAAATAAAAAAAAATAAAATAAAATAAAATAAAATAAAATAAAATAAAATAAAATAAATAGAATAGAATAGAATAGAATAGAATAGAATAGAATAGAATAGAATAGAATAATAAGAAGAAAACAACGCAAATATCTTAATGTTTAAATAAATTAAATTGAATGAGTTTAAAAGGATAATAAATTTAATTTCTACATATAGTTAATAGTATGACACACTTTAAATACCATCTATTTTGTACCAATTTCAAATTTCAAAAAAATAACTAACGAGGCTATTTTTTTGAAAATTGAAATTTGTGCAAGTTTAGGTAGCATTTAGACCGAGTAAAACTATAAGCTATAGAGAAATTAAACAAATTTACCCTGGTTATTTGAACGTAGACAAATGTCATATCAAAAAATTTTCTCTCGTTCAATTTGTAAAAAATTAGAGAGAGAGAAAATTCACTGATAAGACATTTGTCTATATTTAAATAATCAGCCTAAATTTAACTATCCCGACTATTAAAGCGGTCGTTAATACGATGGTGATGATGATGGTGATGATGATGGTGATGATGATGATGATGATGGTTGTCGTTGTTGTTGTTGAACACTATTACCATTTGATGTGATACTGTCGCCGTTTAATAATATTATTGGAACTGTTTTTAGTGCAATAGTGGAAATGTTGTCTTGGGGTTACTTCTAGGATGTAATTTCGATGGTATCGTTAATCCGATTTGGTTCGAATCCCACGCTTGATTGTCAAAGAAAATCAAATTTAATATTAAAATCTAAAATAAAGATTGCTAATTGATTAATTAATATTAATAATAATAATTACCAGCCATTGGATTTAATAAGCATGATGATTTATAATTATTATTAATTTTATTATTAAGAAATGTCTTTTTGTCTTTTTCTTCGAATTCTACTTTAAATTTTTTCATGCTTTCAACTTCTTCATTCGTAAAATCCCCATTTATGTTTAAAATACTTGATTCGTCGAAACAACATTTATAAAGATAGAGTTTCTCTCGTATTTCTTTTATTGTTGGCCTTTTGGAAGCGGCACCATCCATGCATTTAGATGCCATTTCTATTATAAATTTTGGCGTATTATTAGCAAATACTGGTCTTTTATTATTTAAACAAATGTCCAAAGCAAGCTGACGATCATGATTCTCGTTTGGAAATGGTTGTTGGCCACTAGAAATTTCTGACATTATAACCCCCAAACTGTAAGTGTCACAATTTTCAGAATAGTAACCTGTCATGAATACTTCAGGTGCTGTGTAGGGAATTGTACAACTGAGATTTTCTCGTGATTGTTGGTCATTGTATGCGCTTGATGAGCCAAAGTCGGATATTTTTGCAGTTTGGTTGTCGCTTATTAATACATTTCCACTATGTAGATCGCCGTGAATATATTTTAGATTATTTATCTGTTCAAGAGCTTCTGCGATGTCGCATATAATGGAAATTTTTTGCTTCCAAATGAGTTTATGGTAATTATTTTTCAAAAAATTTTGCAAACTTCCGTTTTGTGCATATTCCATTACGAGTGTAAATTCATTTTTAATTATTGCTACGCCGTAAATTGTTATAATTTTGTCGCTATTCAAAAGCTTACTATGGTTTTCCAACTAAATAGTAAAAACGAAGAAAATAATTAATTAATTATCATAATTAGTTTCTAAAAAAATTATAAAATGAATGAGATTGTGAGAACTTACTTCTTTTATAAACAATTTTATTTTCTTGTCTTTGTTTTTCTTGTTAATTTGTTTTAAAATAACCGCAGTATTTGCTTCGCGATATTTTATATTATCCTTTATGCAACGCCTTCCTGGCCCCCACACTCCTTCATATATCGAACCATTGCCACCCTTACACAAAAAATTAGTGATTTTTACATCACATTCCTCTATTAATTCTAAATATTTTCCATCATATGATGATGATTGAGATTGTGATAACGAAATCACATTGTCGATTTCTTTATTGCCACTGGTCTTTTTCGAATTTAATGAGATAAGGTCTATTTCCGATTCATTACTTTTTTCAATTTGCATTATTTATTGTTATTATTTTATTATTTAATTGTTTTTTATAATATTATAATAATACATTAGACCAGTGGCAATTTAGGATGATTTTTTTATTTTGAGGAAGAATATTTATATTATTGAAGAAATGACTAATTAATTTCGTTAAGCGACAAAATTAATTTTATTATTATTAGAACAAAATTATTTGAATTTACAAAGGCTTTTATGCTGTTTCATAATTACGGAAAATTTTTTTTTTTTTATTTTTTTATTTTTTTAAAGATAAGATTTGATTCTAAGAAATACTAATATGTATTTGTATGATGACATTGCATTCATAATTTGTATGATCTATACTTTAAAAAAATTAAAGTTTGTTAAACACTTGATAAACAATGGGCTTAAAAAAAGCTAAAAAACTACGCTCAACAAAAAGATCGTTGCACTAAAAACAATAGTCTAGTGTGTTATTGTTGAAAAGACGTCAGATATGGAAATGATTCTCAATGGATCGTGTCAATGCAGTCATTTTAAATTCCGTAGTACATCAATAATCACCTTACATTTCTTTCACAAATAATAAAGCAACAGCAAGATACAAAATCGTTTAAAGGGAAACTTTGAGAGATAAAATTTTCAAATCTTTCGTCAATCTTTTTACTCAATAAGTACTCACTCAACTCTGTATTGTTACTCGCATCAATTTTTGTCCAATTTTGGACATTTTGTTAGGTTCAGAGATTTTATTTTAGCATAATTAATTGCAAAACTCGGCTGAAATTAGGATTTATACTTAATCATATAATTTAAGGCAATCACTCAAGTCAATGTCATTATCCAAAATATTCAAAATTTCTAAAATGTTCTTTAAGATTTTTCTGAATGCCATTTATTATACTCTTTCCAGAGTATAATATATATTATTCCCTCATTCATTAATCATTTCACCTCTTTGCATTGATTGCTTCCGTTCTATTGATTGGCCATTGCCGCTTCGAGCTTACGTCCAAACTTGTTTAGTAACATTTTACTTTCTCTCTTTGGGTCTTTGATTTGCTGTTTGCCATATATTTAACCCTTAATTGGAAATAATAAAGGTGTTAAAGCTTGGGATTTGTTAACCTCAATTCGGATTGGGCAAAATGAGAGAACCTTGCAAAGTAGCGTGTTACAATCGAGTTTAACTTCTGACATTTACTAGCATCTAAATTAATCAACAAAATTTATTACAAACATGGAATGAGAGAAAGTTCACGGTTATTATTGCTTGGTCAAGAAAATTAATTATTAGGATTGAGAAAGTTGAGTAATTTGTTTTCACTAAATCAGTTTTTCTAAACTTAAATTTAATACTAATTAAGACAAAAATATTTGTTGTTTGATCCTCGGAATAATATAATCACTTCAAATTTTGTAAGTATAAAAGAATTCCAAGCAATAGAACCTTTTCAATTAAAATTTTTATTTTCTTTTTTTGGTTATATTTAAAAAAACACTCTTTCCTTACACAGATAAATATAAGATTATCTCCTATTATCGAATTACGCCACTATTAGAAGAATTCTAAGCAATAGCGAGGTGAAACATTGCTCCTTATGTTATTAATTTAATATCACTATTCAATAATACTTAAGAAAGGATTACTTGTAAAATATATCAAGAAGAACAGGGATAACAAATTTGGATTTGCTGTCCATCTTTACATTGAACTCTGACAAAAGGATAGATTTGTAAAACTATGAAAATTTTCTATTAAAAATAAAAATATTTTTATTGTAGAGTGAACAACAGTATAATGGTAATCATCATAGAGTTTCAAATTTAATTCTTTCAATCTCTCCATCCGAAAATTTCATCTTCGTTTTGTTCTTTGATAAATGAAGTTTTTGGTGGATAGGTCTGACGTTTAATGCATTCATTCAACTGTTTAACTTTCTGCCATATTTGAAAATTATTGAAATCTACCTGGATGACATATATGAACTCTTTTTTTGATTTTTTTGGTTTTCCCTTCTCATACTACTTCAGTACTTCAGGTATATGATATGAGTGGGACGGGTTTAAAAATACTAATTATAATTATAAGAAGAGGGAGAGTTTTATAATTGCAGCAATACTATAATTGTGATATTATAAACAAATGGTTATTCAAGCTTCATCCATAAACTCATCATTAATATCTCCAATAAGTAATCATGAAAAATACCCAACAGTCTGATCACCGTATCATTTTAAAAATAGGGATGGATTTGTATTTGTGCTTGAATAATTGATTTCTACAAGATTATTTAGCGATGTTGGTAATTCATATTCATACCAACGATCATTTAGATCGGTTTCTAAACCGTCTAAAATTTTTCTAGCAATTTTGACAGCCTCTTGGTACATTACGTCGTTCTCTAAATCTACAAACTTATATACTTGCTGCTGTTGTTGATGATGATGTGGTGATCGTGGTAGTGGTCGTGATGGCGAATGCTGCTGGTGTTGTGATGATGGTGGTGGTGAAAGTGGCGATTTCTGCTGTTGTTGTTGAGCCTAATATAAATCAAGAAAATATGAGAGATTGCAATATCTTTATTTGAATATTTTAAATGTAGATAGATAGTAATAAAATGCATACCGCCAAATCCTTTTCGTACTGTTCCAATGCCGTATCCCTCATTTGGAGGTAGGGCTAACCCAATAAATAAAGCATAACATAGTGAATGGATTATTTAACAAATTGTTGTATTAATATATATTATCTATGTAAAATTACCTTTTTATCTTCCTCGGACATATTTCTCCACACTTCACCCAGTAGTGAATTAATTTCAGTACTTTTTATACCCGGTTTTTTAGCACTAATCTCCATTCTATATTTAGAAATTAATAATTGGCCATCATCAATACATCATCGTCAATATACAGCAAATAAATAAGTAAATAAATACCTTTTGGTCATTGTGAAAAATATGAAAGGGTTTGGTGGCTTCTTTAAACTAAAATTGGGAATTTTTTTAGCCTTTTTTCCACCCTTGTCATCTCTAACGCTGGAATTTTTGCGTTTTTTAACATTAGTGACGGGTGGAGAAGTTACGGTGGTAGATGATGGTGTACTAACAGGAGTTGTTGTTGTTGAAGAGGCGGGTGATGATGATACTGCGGTATAAATTGGAGAAGGAATTATTTTTTGTTGTTGTTGCAATTGATTGCCGGTTAAAAATGTTGCACCATTCGGTGTGGCAGTAGAAATGGGAGAAGTGGAAGTAGCTGCATTATTGAAGGAACTCGTATTGACATCAATAATGAGCATTTAAAAAGTTCTAATAATAACAATAACAGTAATGAATAACTTCAATTATATGAGTAAAACTTTTTTATGAAAAAAAAAAAGAAAAATAAGAGAAAAGTAGCAAATGTTATATAATCTAAGTAATGGATATATTAATATAGTGGAAAAAAGTAGTTTATCTGAAATTTTTTAATAATGTGTAACTTTTCATTATTACATTACTCAAAAAATTGCAGTTTAAATAGTTTAAATAAACTTGGCTTTTCGCTGCGCATTGTTTCCATTGGTCAAAAAAGCGACCTATTCTAAAAAATGATGGGGTTAATGAACCATCTCGCCAGTTCATCTAGCGAAGGTTTCCTCCATCCGAATCCAAGTATAAGCATTTTATGATTGATTAATTCATTAAAAAACTTTATTTATTATTCTTGTAAATCGAACAATCAAAAAATTAATTTATATTAAAAGAATTTTCTAAAGAATCAAAAAACAACCGCAACAACTTTACTAGCAAACGACAAACTTATCAAGTTCCATATTCTAACTGCTCATTACATTTGAGCACACTAAACTTGCCTGAAACTCATCATGCTTCTTGATTTGACAAACACTCTGCAGTCACGGATACAATTCCTTTACTGGTCCTATAAAAATGAAGAAGAATTACAAAAAAACATTTTTCTATATGTAATTTCCATATGTAATAAAATCACATCTGGTAAATTGGAAAAATGTAATGTTCCTTATATTTTCCTTACATTCATTTTTTTATAAGGTGACCCTGATGCATGACCTCTACCCCATCACCATATGAAATGATTGTCCTTCTTGAGCCACACCTATTTTCATAATCAATAAATGTTTTGTAATACAAATACTGATGAATTGCAATTATTTTCGAAGATTAAATTTTGTGGATGGGTTAATTCTTATTAAAAACTTGGAACAAAACAATGATGGAGAAGAGCATCTCACATAATAGTATTTTCAACTATAAGTGGTATAATATTAGTTGTAATAATACCATTTATAATTGTTATATTATATATAGGAAGAGTTATATTTCCAAGTGTTATGGTGAAGAATTATAATATTGTATTTATAATATTTTTTTTGGAAAAAAATTATCATCATTTATATAGTTTATTTCTATATATTTGTGCCTACTATTTTTTTGTAAAGGTTGCTACTCTTGACATTCCATTTGAGTATATTTCTGATTACTTATTCATAAAGAGTTTTACAATCGAGAAGGCATTATATTGATTTTAAAGTATTAGAAACTATGAAGCTCTGGCAGTATTAAATAACCTGTGATTTACAAGCAAATTTGCACCCACGACCATAAATTTTTTAGCCAATTAGGTGAAATACAATGAAAAGCTTTCATTTCTATTGGTACAAGTTCAATGTCGTCAATAGCATTCGTTTTTTATTCATTCGGTATATAATTACCTTATTTTTATTCCAGTGTATTCCTGCAAGAGAGATATCAGTCAGCAAAAAAAAATATTCAATTAATGAATCGAATAAAAGAGATTCAAAGAACCACTTTTTCTAAAAAGTAAATAAAGGTAAAATTTTTCTAATTATTATAAGATTATTGTAAAAGTGATAACAATCAAGATAAATTTTAATATTTCACCGAATAGATGGATAATTTTGATTTTCAGAACTCTTGGCACGTTTTTGACAAAGGTGAAAATACATTCTGTTCAAGTATATGATTAGAAAGCTTTATTTTTAATGGAAAGTCTTGTACAATAATAATAAGCTTATATATTTGACGGTAATACATTTTCGTCATGTAACATCTCGTCAGTTGACTAAATTTCGTCAGGTATCTTTATTCCATATTGATTTGCTAATACTCTACGGTTTTTTGGATGAAAATGATTGTTGTGGAGATAATTTTAATAAAAAAAATTTTTAATTATATAAATTTCGGTTATATAGTAGTGACGTTAGCCGATAGAAAAACCTTAGCGGCTAAGAACTTAAATAAATCCCAATTGATAAAAAAACTTTCAGATGGTACTAAACTTTCCAGTATTATTATTACTACTATTATCGTTATTGTTACTATAATTATTATTACTATTACTTACTATTGCTATTATAATATCCCGCCTTTAATGGTTCGAATAAGGTTTATTTGAATTATTTGTTTCATTCGTTATGAATTTGAGTATCCGAATTACAATGAAAGTTTATTCGAATAGAACGAATAAACGAATAGGACGAATAATTTGAATAAAACGAATAATTCAAAAAAACGCGATTATATTTCCAAACATTCAATTAATAATAGCTTATCAGAGAGTTTTTTCATTTATATTATATAGTAAAAAATTTTTTGTGGACAATTCGAATACGGTGCAGATCATCTATAATCATTAATTGCTTATAGTAACAATTGGTCAACTTCAAAATACTAAAACAAAAAAAAATTATATCATTTTAAAAAATTTAACCGATAAGTTTTATTGTTCATGACTCGAGCTTCAAAAGTTATCGGCTGGTTTTTTCTTAAACTGAAAATTGGCAGAGCCTTAGCATTTTGAAAATTCCGAATTTTGTTATACATTTAAGAAATTGAGACTAAGTAAATTTCGTGTAACAATTTTTTTTTTCATGGAATATTTTCTACAACATACATTTGATTTATTTGATTTATTTATTTCCTTTCTTTATTAATAAATAAAAGTTCTTTACAACAAAAACGTTTAACGAACATACTACTTTTTTAATAATTAATTTCCGCTTTTTACTCTTTGTTGAATTACTGCGTAATTACAAACTATCAAAAAAACGGACAAGAGTTTTAAAAAAAGTAGTATTATTACTAAAAAAATCAAGTGAATTTATTATCTTGAGATCTGAGATTTATTGATCAACTAAGCAGATAAACAAATTATTTTATTTTATTTTTTTAAAATAAATTTGATTGGTTCTGATCATTAATCATTTGACTATATCCATTCATCAACAATTAAATCAAAAAGAAAATTAACAATCGACAATCAATTAAATGATCAAAGAATATTGATGACATTGTATTTGATCATGATTATATTATTTCTGAAATAAAATATTTACATTTTACTTTTGCAAGAAAAATTGCAAATTCTATTTTTATTTGAAAATTAAAATAATATTGACTTTTCTGTGTTATTGACAATAACTGTATTCATGTATGGAGTTCTCTCTTCAGCATAGTGATTAAAAAAAAAAAAAGTTTTTTATTTATCAGTCATACTTGCATCTTGTGGTGAATATTCTTCATGATCATTTACATTGTTTACACTACTCACCAATAATTGTTAATTGAGTATCATGGAAAGCAACTAGACCTATGAAGTTTTCTATCATAAACAAAGTCATAGGGTCGAATCTCTTCTGAGACCAATGGTAAGGTTTTCAATGCTTCATGACGAAGAGGATATTGTATCACTTTTGATATACTGCACTCTAGTTTTTCTTCCATGTGCATCACATTTTCATGATTAGTAAGTTATGTCCTGTCTAAAGTAAATTTTGGTATTATTTCATCACCATATCTGTTATTCCCTCTTGAAATGCAAATTAATTCAATTCCCAAAGAACAACTGTCTATCTTCGGCTGTGATTGGGGAAATATACCCATTTTAAATTGATAGGGCTAGTTTGAGCACTTCAAACAATATAAATAATCCTTGTAACATTTTATGTAATAATAACAATAATGCTAAAGGACCAGAAAATATTTTTTCACTTAACTGCATATTCAATACTATGTATTTCAAACGCTTCCTCACCTTCCTCATCATCATCCTTGTTTTATAATAATAATATCCATTTTTATCTTAATATTAAGTGATATATAGAACTATCCCTATATAAAATAGTTAATATGAAACTCATTTACATCAGATCTACTATGGAACTCAAGAATTATAGTACAATTGATTTAAACCAGGGTTGTGAATTTCGCTGTACGAGAAGAATCTTCATACCATTGAGTTCGTACAATTTTGTTGTGGCCGTACACCCGTACGAGAAAATTTTACATATGTACGTACGAATGTACGATCTATCAGGAACGATTATTTTCTGTAGTGATAAAATATTACACCAGAGTTGCACAATTTCACTGTACAAGAAGAATCTTCGTACATACCATTGAGTTCATTGTGGTCGTACACTTGTACGAGGAAATTTTACATTTAATGTATTTTCACCTCTATTTTTTTCTTCATTTTTTTTTAATTGTTCACTCTCTTCAGACAATGATTCATTGATTTCCATCTCTGTAATTAATTTATATTTTAATTTTTTTATATCTTCATTTTTATGTTAACTTCATCTTTCAGGTTTGTTATTTGTTCTAGTAATTGTTCTTTATTATAGTCATTATCATTATTGAAAAAAAATTCACCGAATACTTTTATATAATAATTGTGTTCTGTGGACAACACTTCAGGAATTGAAAATTTTTACTCATTTTGTCAGTTGATGATGATTTTTTTAACTACATATAATGATAACAAGTGGCTGCAATCACAATGAGTGGCAATAACTACCACCATTCTTATGATAAACACACCTGTTTTCAAATTCCTGTTTTCTTTTATTCTTATCTCTTTGGTCTTTTGGCATTTTAGAATTAATTTTTTTAAAAAAAGAATTGATCAACAAATGTGTACACTAATTTATTTATGCATGTTTTTTTTAAGGGACAGACACTATAATTGTGTAGTTATCCACAAAAAAAATCCACAAATTTCGTGAAATCTCAGAATATACAATTTTTATTGGTGGGTTGGGTGCGTGTTATCCTTATTTAGAAATCGATTTGGCGATTGCGGATTTTTGATTTTTTTTTTTTTGGAAAAACAATTTACTTTTTACAAGATGACCAAATGTGAGCATTATTGTTTGATATGGTTTGACTCTGAAGAAGTGTTAATAACTAACCAGAGGTACTTTTTTTAATTTGTATTGATATAATGTGGTGTCTTTTATTTTATAAATATAATTATTGAAATCAAAACATGGAGCAGAACTCGATGGGTAATTATAAGATCTTATCAAGATGAATGATTGGTATTTTGCTTTGTGTAACCAATATTAATATTAATATTGATATTATTATAATTACAAGATGTCAAGGCAGCATGACTGACTGTTGCAGAAGAAACAATTCAAGTATGTGATGTTTGATTATCAGATGTTGAAGCACTTTATGCTACCTTGAACACTTTACAGTCATTCACACACCTTCCTCACCTACACAAGGCTAATCTGACTACAGTGCTTCTGATGATACAATGATGTAGCAGAATTCCAGGGGGGTGCAAAGCTCTGGGGTTTACTGAGATTGCATCAATTGTCAATGACATTTTCACTAATCTTCCCTCACAGCACCCAGACCAGAGAAGGCTGCTGACATGTTAGACGAAAAGTCACCTGCAATGATTCACCTCTAGGGTAAGGATGCTCTGCAATCAAGTCACAACTCTGAAGAGTTGTGATATTAGGTATGCATAAACACCTAGGGTTTGTTACACACTATTAAAATCAAGTGTTTTTAAGGTAGGGGGAATCATGTGATAATTTAATACTGCGAGTGTGCAATCTGAGTTTCCTATTTAATAGGTTATTTATAGCTCAACACACAGCCTACTCGCTGACTTACGGTTGATTCT